GGGTTCCCATGTCTCCTGGGGGAAGAGTGGTTGTTTGTGCTCAGTATAAACCAGCTTGACTGGAGCCCAGATTTTACGTGAGGTGTGGGTAAGACCTACAGTTAGGACAGTAGATTGGGGTCAGATTACAGAAGATCTTAAAAGCTGGCCATGGTATTGGTAATTTGTTCTATAGGCTTTGGGAAGCTGATGAGGGCTCCTGAGCTATGGGAAAAGCATTATTATAGGGGTACTACAGGAAGGCGAGGGGTCAAAGGAAAAGTGCAGGGTGCACTGGGCCCTGGGAGTGGAACATGGGTCAGCACAAGGTGGCAGTGATCCAGCTGGGAGACCTAGGCCCCACGTAGGGAGCTAGGAAAGGCAGTAATGAAAGTGGAGACCCTTCTGGGCTCAGCGGTGCAGCATTGGCCACAAGCCGTGCACACCGCACACTCCTGTGGACTGGGGATCAGGATGGAAGTGTCAGGAGTGCTGTCTCCTTGGCCTCGTGATTTCTGCGGACCAGTGTGGAGACAGGATGTAGAGAGGGGCCTGCCTCCTGTTCGCTCCCTGTCTACCAAAGGCATAGACCTTTGCAGCAGACAGTGAAGCTGGATCTTGGATACCTGGAAGTGTCCCTGCCTAGTTGGCCATCCCAGGGCCTGGCCCCCTTGAGTAGGACAAGACAAGCATTAGGGTGCTTGCACAGGTGGTAGAAACACCAAACTCAAAGTATGAAGGGAAAAGAGGGTGCCAGTTAGGGTGTCTAAACCAAAATTTAAGCTAGCTCCAAAGCTCTTATTTTGATCTTCAGTTTGCGTAGTGCATAAAAATGATAGGATCCTACAAAATATGACAAGGAGGGTGTTTGTGTGGTCAGTTTGCTCTGCATTCGCTATTGCACAGGCCAGCTTATCGGTGGAAAACCATTCCTGCCTCAGAATGCTTCTGCCCCTTTCTCTCAGTCCTTCGGTGTTTCCGGCACTGAAGCGTTCTAGAAGGCGCAGGGGTCCAGTTAGGTGCTGTCCTTTGCGTTACAGGCAGACTGAGAGTGCTGTTTGTGTCCACGTGTGCCTGTGGGTGTAGTGGGCAGATGGCTGCGTGTGGGTTTTAGTGGACATAGGTTGCAAGAGAGTTTTAAATAACTTATTTAAAATAGAATGAAGGGATCTAAAAGCAGATTTATACGCCATAATTAATTTAATTAGGCAGAGTGTGGGGAAATATGCTAAAAAGCTGACGTAATAAGTGTTTCAGGGCATAGGATGTGGAGGACCGTGAGAAAGCAGCGGAAGTCATGGCTGCAAGATTAGCCTGGGTGTCCTGGCCTCCCGACGGTGGGGAGTGCCACGCCCGGGGACCGCTAACAGAGGTGGCGGCCCATCACGCCGGCAGCCGCTCTGACGTGGGTATAAGAATCATCATCATTCAGAAGAACTGTTACATTCTCTGGGTTCTTTATAAATAAGTAGATGTCCATCTCTTGAGACAGGTTCGTGTATATTTCTACCTGTATTTTCAAATCTGTGGACTTAGATTTTAAAAATTAGTGATTCTTATCCTGGTGCTGAGAGAGAAAATGAGTCCGTTTTTAAAAAAACAATCAATCCCTGGCCCACGTACATTTTTATCTGCACGTTGAACTGTCAGCAGCCTTTTCCACGCGCACTGCTGTGTGGAGAGGGTACCGGGTGCGCCTGCGGGACGTGAATAACAGAAGTGTGACAAGATGCAGCCGCCAGCCCGGCGGGCCTGCTCCAGCTGTGCGGATACGCTGTTGCCGGGTGAACGTGGCTCCTTTCGGACTCAGCCCAGGCTTATTCGGACCCTGGGAGCTGGGGGTTTATCCAGCTGTGTAGACGGGTTAGCGGTGGGGGTAGAGCCTGTTTCCTCAGTGAGCACTAGTTGCCGGAGAGAATGAACAGGCTTGAAAGGGAACCGCTTCACATTTTCACAAGGGTCCTTTGAGCTTCCTAAGAAACGAAGCTCCTCCTTTCTTCCATGAAGGGCCCCTGCAGGGACTCTGAATTCTATTCCGACAGGGTCTCCTCTCCGCAAAACTCTCAGCTTCCCTGACTTTGAGGGCTGCCGAGCTGTCTGCCTGTCACCCAAGGACGCGATGAGGGCTTCAGAAGAGGACCCAGTCTCTCTAACTGTGCACCAGGCCCCCAGTCATCGTGCTCACTGCCGGTGGATGGCAGTTTCATCTCCAGACAGGCATGTGGGACAGCTGGAGAGATGACACTATCCATGGGACAGCTGTGAGAAATGACACGGAAAATTCACTGTCCCCAAGTCCTCTCTGTCACACCCACAGGAGATCCAAACTTTGAACAGGATCAAGGAGCTGTACAACCGGGGCTGTAAGATGAAAAGCGCCTATGAGACAGAGAGCAGAGACGAGAACTTGGCCGTGCTCATAAAGACGACCTGTAGTTCCCACAAAAGAAAAGGGGGAGCGGAGTGGCGAAGCAGAGAGAGGTGGTTGGGGAGAGGCCTGGAGAACTGCAACCGACCCCAGGCTGATACCTTCCCTGGAAATTTACTCCCGTGGCTACTCAGCGACTGGGAGGAGCTTTCTAGCTAACGTGGGGATTCAGGGGAAGGAAGGGATGTGGAATGGAAAACATGGCAAATCCAAGATAAGAGAGGGGGAGCTTATCTGGGGATTTGTTGAATTTGACTTTTTTTTTTTAACTATAGGAAAAACTTCACAATACCGGTGGTGCTGGGAAGGCAGTGGGGCATAGGCGCCTGGGATCCTGTGCTCACTCCTTGGGGGGTTCTGTCGGGCCAGGCCCGCGGGAGGGAGGCTCACCCTGAGAGTTGAGCTGAGATGCTAGGTCGTATCTCCAACCTGACAAGTGAGACTGTGTAGAGTTTGAGTACCAGTGACATGGGGTGGAACACGGGTTGGGGGGGGTGTCCATAAATAGACTTGCTCTGGAGCACTGAGCTATGCTGCTTCTCAGGTAGGAAGGATGGTATGAAATTAAGTAAGATGTGTGCCTGCCACGGTCCTGGGTAGTTAAGTGTTTTCTGCTTTAATGCTTCCAGCAGCTTCCAGAGCACCACGTGACTCACAGCACTGGCCCTGTTACTTCAAATAGACCACTATGGTCAGTTCATCTGAAATGGCTATAAGTTTTAAGAGAGAATATGAATGCAGTATTTAAGTTAAATAAATATAATTATATTTATCTAATCATATTGCAGGAAATGCAGATAGCAGCAGAAAAGANGTGGCTCCTTTCGGACTCAGCCCAGGCTTATTCGGACCCTGGGAGCTGGGGGTTTATCCAGCTGTGTAGACGGGTTAGCGGTGGGGGTAGAGCCTGTTTCCTCAGTGAGCACTAGTTGCCGGAGAGAATGAACAGGCTTGAAAGGGAACCGCTTCACATTTTCACAAGGGTCCTTTGAGCTTCCTAAGAAACGAAGCTCCTCCTTTCTTCCATGAAGGGCCCCTGCAGGGACTCTGAATTCTATTCCGACAGGGTCTCCTCTCCGCAAAACTCTCAGCTTCCCTGACTTTGAGGGCTGCCGAGCTGTCTGCCTGTCACCCAAGGACGCGATGAGGGCTTCAGAAGAGGACCCAGTCTCTCTAACTGTGCACCAGGCCCCCAGTCATCGTGCTCACTGCCGGTGGATGGCAGTTTCATCTCCAGACAGGCATGTGGGACAGCTGGAGAGATGACACTATCCATGGGACAGCTGTGAGAAATGACACGGAAAATTCACTGTCCCCAAGTCCTCTCTGTCACACCCACAGGAGATCCAAACTTTGAACAGGATCAAGGAGCTGTACAACCGGGGCTGTAAGATGAAAAGCGCCTATGAGACAGAGAGCAGAGACGAGAACTTGGCCGTGCTCATAAAGACGACCTGTAGTTCCCACAAAAGAAAAGGGGGAGCGGAGTGGCGAAGCAGAGAGAGGTGGTTGGGGAGAGGCCTGGAGAACTGCAACCGACCCCAGGCTGATACCTTCCCTGGAAATTTACTCCCGTGGCTACTCAGCGACTGGGAGGAGCTTTCTAGCTAACGTGGGGATTCAGGGGAAGGAAGGGATGTGGAATGGAAAACATGGCAAATCCAAGATAAGAGAGGGGGAGCTTATCTGGGGATTTGTTGAATTTGACTTTTTTTTTTTAACTATAGGAAAAACTTCACAATACCGGTGGTGCTGGGAAGGCAGTGGGGCATAGGCGCCTGGGATCCTGTGCTCACTCCTTGGGGGGTTCTGTCGGGCCAGGCCCGCGGGAGGGAGGCTCACCCTGAGAGTTGAGCTGAGATGCTAGGTCGTATCTCCAACCTGACAAGTGAGACTGTGTAGAGTTTGAGTACCAGTGACATGGGGTGGAACACGGGTTGGGGGGGGTGTCCATAAATAGACTTGCTCTGGAGCACTGAGCTATGCTGCTTCTCAGGTAGGAAGGATGGTATGAAATTAAGTAAGATGTGTGCCTGCCACGGTCCTGGGTAGTTAAGTGTTTTCTGCTTTAATGCTTCCAGCAGCTTCCAGAGCACCACGTGACTCACAGCACTGGCCCTGTTACTTCAAATAGACCACTATGGTCAGTTCATCTGAAATGGCTATAAGTTTTAAGAGAGAATATGAATGCAGTATTTAAGTTAAATAAATATAATTATATTTATCTAATCATATTGCAGGAAATGCAGATAGCAGCAGAAAAGAAAAAATACACCCCACTCTGCATCATAGCCAATCTTATTTTGACATATTTCCTTATAGTTCTTTCTTTAATGCCACTAAATATAGCTTCATATCCAACTCTACAAACTTCCCCCCATGTTTTTATGAAGTTTTCATAACTATGATTTTTAAATCAATGCTATTTTGATTTCTTTGGGGATTTTTTTAAGTGGGAGCATTTTGAGTTTTCTCACGATTGTTAGGTATAGAGATTTAATCTTAATCTGTATTTTGTTTCTTTTAAAGGGCATTTTGTGCTAAGTCTCGGCTATTAAAAAAGCACTGTCTTTTCTTATATTTCTGTTAACAGGGATCTACCGCACAGAAAAGGGTAAAGGCACTTTGTACGAGCTCACGTTCAAAGGGGACCACAAGCACGAATTCAGGCGCCTTGTCTTGTTTCGGCCGTTTGGCCCCATCATGAAGGTCAAAAAGGAAAGACTCAGCATGGCCAACACGCTCATCAACATCATCGTGCCGCTGGCAAAGAGGGTGGACAAGTTCCGCCAGTTCATGCAGAATTTCAGGTTTGTGCGTTTGCACCTGTTTATCTTCCTCCACGCGGTGTGTGAAACCCTGATAAAAGTTGCCGGCATCTCCCTCCTTTCCCCAGCCAGGTACAAAGGCTCCTTTCTCTTCTTGTCAGACTGTTTTCTTCATATCAGCGTTCTTGTTTGTGTTTGCCTTTCCCTAAAGCAATTAGAACACTGCCAGATAAGCAGATTTACCTTCAGAAGGGAAACGTAGGAAGGACTAGGTTTCATCAGATCTACAGAGATGGCCTCCTGCCTGCTGTGTTCAACTCTGGCTTGAGTTTGGGCTCAGGTTTGGGGACAGCAGGGGCCATGCTATTGCACCAGCAGGGTGGGCTGTGGACTTGTGCTGGAGGCTCTGTTTGCTCTGCTCGAGCAGCGGCTGGAATAGATTGAATCAGAATCTATTTTTTATTCTAATCTACGTTCCCTCAGAGATTAAATTTAGAATTGTGCCAAGAAGTTTCCAGGAACTCATTTCTGTGGCTACTCAAGACAATTAAGTGGGGTTTTATTTTCAGATGCAGGAATGTCGTTGTTGCTCGCGTGTCTTTAAGGCCTTGTGCAGCGTTGGAGCTTGTAAGCTATTTGACTAACATTCACTTACTGGTAGAGGTTAATCGGCTAACTCACTTAGCCAGCTTGTTTTAAAGATAGCAAGTCATAAGTGTCTAATTATAAATCTTGGAAGATCAAACTTATTTTTAATCTTTTATCATTAAATTCACATTATTAAAAGCCAGTAACGCTCCGTATAAGGGTATGGTTGATACTTCTCAAAATTCTGGGTAATGGATGCACTTTTTAAAAAAATTTTTACGTTTGAAGAGTAACCCTTTTCTAATTAAATTTTAAGGTCAGAATCCAGTGGTCTTAGAAGAGACCTTTGGAGGTCATTTGGTCTAATTCTCCCTTAGTTCAGAATCCCTTGAGAGCGTTCCTGACATATGTTTTTTCTATGCAGTGTGTATGTACAAGGTAGGCTGCCTCTCTGTTGACCAGCTCTAGATAGAAAGCTCACTTTTATTAGGACCTGAAGTCCCACCTCCCTGTAATTTCTACCCAGTTCTAGCCTCTGAAGAAAGGACTGAACAAATAAATCCATTTCCTCTTAAACATCATAGCATTTCAGATATTTGAAGAAAGTGATCATAACTCCCTTTGTCTTTTCTGTGATATCAGGTGGAGTAGGGTGGACTGATCCTTGCACCTGTCCCCAGTCTGTAGGACACCCGTGTGGGCACCATCACTTGACAGCCACATTCTTCTGGCTCCATTACTGAAGTGTATGCAGCGTTGGCTTCTGTCAGCTTTCCTTTGGTGTTTCTATGTTCTCTCTGGAATGGCAGGGTGCTGCTGGTTGGTTAAGCATTACATCCTTAGAAGGACTGAGCCTGTGGTTGGTACTAGGCATTAAGTCAAATCATTACTGCCAGCAGCTGGTGTGCCCATTTCTAGGACTCGCTCATAGTAGGTTCCTTTGGCCAGGAAGCTGCCTAGCACTTGCCAGATTAAGGGCCCTGAGGTTTTCTTCAGCACATAGGCCAGTCTGAGCGCACTGGGTTTGGTAAGGTTGTGCTTGTGCTAAAGAAATATTTGCTCAGTGAAGAGCCAAGTCCCTCGCGTAGGACTCTGGGGCCTGGAATAGCAAGATATCTTTGACTGGCGTATATAAAAAACGCCATATATGTAAGATATGTATTGCTTTAGTTCCGTGAGTATTGCAAGTAATTAACAATAGAAGTACGCCTAGAAGGGAAATATTGTTGAAAAAAGTAAAATTTAGCTCACAAGTCACCAAAATTGAAATGGTGAAATGAAATTTTAGTTAATACATTTTAAAAACAAACAAAAGTCCTCGGGCCTTTTTTTTGACTCACTCTCAAGATGCCCATTGCTGCATGTAGGCAGGAGAGGGTGGGTGGGAAGACCTGTTATGTGGGTGGGATATGTGGAGGGCCTGTGTGAATGCCAGACACTCCACCAAATGCAAGGCGGAGAAGAGGAGTTGGGGATGTAGCACCTGCCTTCATGGAGAGTAAATCTACTCATATGAAGCTGGAAGCTACAACAGAAATAGACACAAGGGACAGTGGGACACAGAAAGGCTTCCCAGGACAGAGGACTCTTGAGCAGAAGCCCAAGTGGGGAGTTTGCTCTATAGTCCAGGGTTTCTTGAGTATATTGAGGTCTCTGAAAAGGTGAGATGAGCGATGGTACTGAAACATGAGGTGGTCTAATTCTGTGTCAGAGCTCAGTAAAGGTGGCATTTCCAGCCTGCCAGCAGAGGATAGATTGTTTAGTGCATGGCTTTAGCACAGCTAATTAAACAGAAAATTTAATTCTTACTTCACACCAAAACCCAAAGTCAACTCCGGTCAATTGAATATTTAAATGCAATTAATATGACCATAAAAAGTATTTGGAGAAAACATAAGGGGCTGTTTATTAAATATTTGATGTTGCCTTTATGAAGTTCCTTCCATTCCCGGACTGGAGATTATTAACTGTGACAGACACTGCAGATGACATGATGAGTAATTTATTTCCTTCTTTTGGATTCTTTCTGTTTTATAACTTTTTATACAGGTACCATATATTTTGTTTAAAAATTCAGTGACAGTTTTCTTGGCTTTTATAATTTAAACATGACTTTTTTGTTTGTAAAAGTGATACATGGCTATTATAAGACATTCAAACAATATAGAACCCAAGCACTAAGTTATTTCAAAATTCACTCCTGACCCTGCCTCCTAAAATTAATAATTTTTAATATTAATTGAATACTGTTCTAAACACCTTTCTTTGTGTATTTGCAGATATAAGAATAACTTGCTAGCTAGGAATAATTTAGTACAACATGAGATATACTATATATTCTATTTTTAATTAAAGAATTAAATTTTACCTTAAATTTATAGAAGAGAATCTGAAATACAACAGAAGAAATTGCTGATCTTTATCTCAACCATAGGAGATATTGGTTCCTAAGAGATCCCTCTAACGTTACAAAAGTGACTTTGCGAAACAGAGGAGATTGGAGTTATGTATTTTTTACTGCGCATTTTAATTTTAGTCTGGGTTGATTGAAAAATTACAATAAGAAGAGGAAATCATCAGTTATACTTTCTCCCTCTCCTCTGTCCTATTTTCCAATTTTGTTAGTTATCTGTTATTTTTACCTTGTTGGAGTTTGCAACCTTTACATTCTGTTTTATAACCACAATTCTTATACTTAAACGTGAATTTAGTGTTTTCATTAGCAGTCCTCTGACAATAGCTTCTTCATTCCCGAGGCCTTGGTTGGCAATATTTCACGGTGAAGAAATTCTTTTAAGAAGGATCATAAGTTCTTNCTCTGACAATAGCTTCTTCATTCCCGAGGCCTTGGTTGGCAATATTTCACGGTGAAGAAATTCTTTCAAGAAGGATCATAAGTTCTTGAGAATAGAATGTGTACTTATTAGCTTGATACTTTAAGTATGACTTGGCCGGACTTAAAATTCTTGGGGGTCACTTCCCCCCCCAGGACTTTGTACACCTTCTAGCATCTGATGGTACCATGAAGGAGCGTAAGGACAATTTTATTGTGTCTCTTCTGAAAATGACTTACTTGTTTGCTTGAATGTCCAAAGGGTTCTTTTTTAGTTTTGAATCATAGTAACTGAGTCAGGATACGTCTCAGCTCAGTGTCTGTTCTCTCTGAGGTTTTCCTGCATTTCAGTTTCCTGTTTTGCTGTGCGGATTCTTTTATTTCGGGGAACTTTTTTTGCTGTTCTGATTTTGAGTATTTGTCCTGCTTTGTTTGTTGGATTCTCTGCTTTGCAGAGAATATAATTGTATATTCTCAGGTGTTCTCAAATTTTTAAGCTTCTCTCTATTGTTTAATGCCTTTGTCTTTTATCTGCTTTCTGTATACCTTTCCTTTATGCAAGGCATTTGGTTTTCAGATATGTCTGTTCTGTACCTTGGTATTTTAAATTATTACTTCTGTTTCTTTTGTTCATCAGTGTATTTTCTGAGCATGGAATGTGCCAGTGCTGTTTCTGTCATCTCTTTAAACTTCTTAGAATTGAATTCACATTTTTATTAAGAAAGTGTGAAACATTTGGAAGCCACTTTCTCCTGTTTGAGCTCTGTGTTCTTTCAGACTAGGGATTTCGCTGGCTTTCTGAGCGCTGTTGCTCTCTTCTCTCCTTCTCTTTCCTACTTGGATTCTGTTGTTATTCCTGAAATGTGGCAGCTGCAGGGTTTGGCTTCATCCTTCTGCGTGGCACGCAGAGGGCCACCCAGACTGTTCGCTCTGACGTAGGGGTGGGTCCTTCTTGGCTACCTCTGTGTCTTGACTGAGAGCTGTTTTGTCCCACCCCCAGCGGTGTTCTGAGGACAGGGTATCGATTGTTCTATGTACTTCATTTGTAGTCTGGAAGAACCAGTAGAGGAGGGAAAGCACTCAGCTGGGGTTTTGTGCAGCCAGTGTTGGAGGTTCCCACTTTCTGAGTCCTGGGGTGGGTCTGTGAGCTGCCCCAGGCTCGCTCCACCTAATTGTGAATGGATCTTTTCCCGGAGGGGTAGAGTATTCAGCTCTCAGAATGGCCTTTGGTTAAGGGCTGGGACATCAGAGAGAATCAGTCAGCCCCAATTGTTTACTTCTCTTATCTCATTTATATGTGGCCTTAGCAGCTCTTTCCCAAACTCCCACAAGTCAAAGAGGAGAAAGGTTAAGGTTTGGCCCCATCTTTAAAGGTATGTGTGTGTCAGTGGGAGACAGGTATAAGATACTGCATCTGGCTATCAGCATCTCTCTGTCTCTTCTCTTCTTTCTGCCCTTATGACGGATCTTGGCTAAATGCGATGGTCCTCTGTCCTTTGGTTCTGCCAAGTATACCCTTTTTTTGCAGGGGTTACTTCACAGAGCATAATTAGATTAGTTCTACCTTTCTTCTCTACTTTCCATATGATGTGAAGAGACTAGATAGTCCACGGTGGCTCTCCTCGGGCTGAGATCCTGAAGTGGGAGTTGGGGCCCCTGTGTGCCCCCAGACCAGCCATTCCCCTGGGCTGCCTCTCCCCGCCCCTGCTGCTTCTCCAGCTCCTCTTCTAGAGGCAGTTGCTGGAGCTGGGAGCCATATGAGGCTAAAATAGAATCTTCCGTCTCTTTCCTTGGCCTCCTCTTTGTGATGTTTAAGGCAGAAGAGTATGCCCCTTTCATTGGACATTTATTAGTAGCAAGACTTTGGCCACTTTTCACATTTTTGGTACATGGGTATGCAATTATCACTCTTTGAAATTAATTTATTTAAAACATTATCCTTTAAAAGGTAAACACCCTTTGTAGACCACCCAACTCGTACTGCAGTTATTCAGTCCTGCCTTGTACTGTAGCTCTTCAGCTCTCCATTTCTTCCAATACACTGTGGAGTCTCTGAGTCAGGGAGGGTGACCCGTTGTCCCAGTTTGCTCGGGACTGAGGAGTTTCCTGGGATGGGGACTTTCAGTGCTAAAACCTGGAGAAACCCAGGCAGACTGGATGGTTGGTTCCCCAACAGGGACCATACATGATTATTCCTTTTAAATCTGACACAGTGTGAATAGTGCCCTGCACAGCAGAGTTAGCTCGAGGGATTCCGGGGGTCTGTCCAGGTGCAGAGAATTACCGCAAATCACAAACAGCTTCCTGGCCACGGTCACCCCACACGCTCTTCCTCATTCATGTCTTCGGGAGGGAGTCTAGTGAGAATTCTTTGGAAAATACTGACATCACAAGACCATTCAGACACAGCGATGTTTCCATAGTGCTATGTGCCTTCTCGCCTTGCACGCTTGTTCGTTGCAGTGTAGACAGTGTCAGTCCTGAGCAATAGCCGGAGAGCAGAAACGTCTCGCTCATGTTTTGAGCNCGTTGCAGTGTAGACAGTGTCAGTCCTGAGCAATAGCCGGAGAGCAGAAACGTCTTGCTCATTTTTGAAGNTTTGAGCCCCCCCCGATAGAGTATCCGGCGCGTGGCGGTGTTTGCGTGGTTATTGCTTGTTGACTAAAGGAAGGAGTAAGTGAATAATGGAAGGGGCCCTGGAGAGGCCCTCCGAACAAACCCTGCTTTGCCCTCTTGGGGCGCCTCAGCTGGCGAATGGGAAGTAAAGGGCCAGCGTGTCTGTCTTGCTCCTGGAAAGCAGGGAGTGCTTTGAGGGGATTTTTAAATGCCAGCAGAGGTGTCCCTAGGGGGAAACCGAGGATGCTCTTTATTCGGGCTGGGTGGGTGACCCTCTAATGATCCTGGGCCGGATTTTCTCCAGCTGCACACGGTTTTGAAGCAGTTTTTCGGGCGCTTGGTGCTGCTTGCGCTTTCATTCCACCTGGCGAGTGTGCGGAGGGGACCGTGTGTGCGCAGAGGATTTGTTGTCCCGAGGTGATGACTCAGTCCGAGGGCTGGGGCTCCGAGGCAGCTCTCCTCCTGAAGCTCGCTGTCACGGCCGGGCCTGTGTTTGGTCCCCCCCCTCGGAGCTCTGAGGTCAGCCTGCACTTCCAGGCAACTCTTCCCTCCCTCCCACAGGCCGTAAACAGGTTGTCAGGACCCGGCCTGTGAGGGGTGAGCCCTGCTCGCCTCCTGCCGGGTAAATAGCATCTTCCCTTCGCTTTCTCCCACCTGGAATTGCTTCCTCTCTCTACCTTTTTAAACCCTGTCCATCTTTCAGGGCCCCAGCCATTGCAGCCCACAGACTCTCCTGTGCTTTCTGAATTGTCCTTATTTTATTTGAGCTCATTTTATTTCTTATGTAAGTTTTTTGAGGTCAGGAACCATATCTTCTATTTCTTTGGATTTCTCCCAGCCACCTGAGCAGGACAGTTACTTCTTTTTGATGTCATTATAAAACACATCAAATAAATGGGCCTCTGCAATTAGAGCTCACGGATTTCCGGAAAGCTATGATGTGATTGTTGTTTGGGGCTTAAGGAAAGTAGCTAACACAGAGACAAAAGGAATGAAATGGAAGGACATGCAAAATATCAAAATATCACAAAATATCATCTCACCAGTAGAATCTTTCCATTAACACGCTTCCAGGAAACACCTGTAAAGATTATGCACACACATATATACACGTATGTGCACAGATATGTGCACCTAAACACATATTTACATACACATATATTTACACATATAAATTCACATACACATATTTGCACATACATGTACACACATCACACGTATAGATGAAGTAAATGCTCCGCCGAGGATCGTCCCATGGTAGCTACAGGGTAGCTACATGGTACATTGAGGGGTTACATTGAGAAAACAGGACATGGCAAATAACAAGCTTTGGTGGGAAAAGCGGGTGTGGAGGCCTGGCCCTGCGAGGGCTGTCAGTGCTGGAGCATGAGGTGCCAGGCGCCTGGGACAATCAGGGTCACAGAGGAGAAGGCAGGATGTAGTGAAGGTAACTGTATCTGCTTGGGAAGGAGATGCAGGGACACACTGCAACTGTGCTTCTGCCTTATCATTCTCTTGGACAGTCACGCCACTGGGTGTGACCAAGGGTTTCCAGAGTCCCAAATGGAAGAATGTCATTTTACTTTTATGCATCCAGCCTTTAAGACTGTTTGGCACACAAGGGAAAAATCATAGACAAGACTTCTAGTCCTACCCTCTCTGGATTTAGCTTGCTCATCTGTACAATGGAATCTGTGTGTTCTTTATTTCTTCAACTTCGGATGGCAAAGAAGGGTAGGATCAGCCGCCTTCTCATGACAGTGAAGGTCCCAATAGGCTAGGCCCCTAGCAGATTGGACCTGTGGCCTCTGAGTTTGCATTTACCACGTCTGNCTTCGACTTCAAGTGACAAAGAAGGGTAGGATCAGCCGCCTTCTCATGACAGTGAAGGTCCCAGTAGGCTAGGCCCCTAGCAGATTGGACCTGTGGCCTGTGAGTTTGCATTGACCATGTCTACACATTTAAATTTCATTGTTTCTTGCTAAGATAAAAACAAAGACAGGTCATAGTGATGGCCAGCCCGAAATGCCCATCTCTGCTCTCCTGGCAGTTCACTCAATTTACTTTAAGGCCCTTTTGCACTTTACAAAATAGGTATTGGCTTGAGCATTTCCTGTTACTGTGAAAACAGGTCAGAGATGCACGTGTTTTGTTTTCTAGGGAGACATGCATCCAGCAGGATGGGAGAATTCATCTCACCGTCGTTTACTTTGGGAAAGAAGAAATGAACGAGGTCAAGGGAATACTCGAAAACACTTCCAAGTAAGTGTGACGTGGAGCCATAATCAGGAGCCGTAGTAACTAGCTCTCGTACCTCCAAGGCTGAAACTCCTGCTTTAGTCTTATTTTCCTTAACACTGGGGGGGGGGACACACAAGATTGGTTGGTTGCTGGTGGTATGTAGGGGGAGTTCTGCACCCTTGGGAGACCACCCTGCCTGACACTGGTCCTCACTGTGCAGGCTGTTGATTTTGACTTTGAGATACTGCCCTGAGCAGCAAAGGTAGAGAGCATGCGCTTCTTTTGGCTTCAGCATGACTGGATGTCTTCACTCTTAGCANCCTGAGCAGCAAGGGTAGAGAGCATGCGCTTCTTTTGGCTTCAGCATGACTGGATGTCTTCACTCTGCAAATTCGAGGTCTCTGTGTCACACAGTGGGAACCAGGGAGGGCACAGCTATGCAGTAAGCTCCATCTCAGCCACAGCGTGTAAGGCTGAGAGTGACAGCTATGCTCGGATCTCACCCACGTAGCCAGTGATCTCACCCTTCTGACCTTCATTCATTACGCATTTTGAGAGATTAGGGGGAAGCCAGAAATGATGGCTGGGGCAGGATCCTTGATGAAATCTACTCGGTTGAACAGAAATTATTTAACCACAACTTTAGACTTAGGGTCGTATATTTATACCCCATTGATCAGTTGTATGGGGGGATCAATGTATTCAAAAACAGCAGAGATGGATTTTTCCCTACCACAATAAATATACAAGTATTTCTTTAATAAATATCTATGCAATTTTCTTCTAGCAGGGAAGGTGGGATGGCACTGCCATGCATCCCTGTGGTTTGCAGGGTTTCAGTTGAGTCATTGGGGGTGGGCGTGGGGGACTGGTAGTTTCTCCATAAGTAAAGCTTGGAGGGGGGTCAATAGTACTCAGTGGCAGAAATAGTCTGAATAGGCCCATATGGCCTAAATATAAGCAGGGCCTCTGTTTTGAATTTCTGGTAAACGGTAATAGGATGACAGTTAGTCAAAGGATAAGATTCCAAGATCGAGGGCACTCTTTGTATTTATTTTCATGCTTTGTTACTAATTTTGTATTAATGGGCACAAGATCAGAATGCTAATTATACTTATTCAAACATTCTGAGGCAGTCCACTAGCCAAATTTTGCCCACTACTTCTTCCTGTAAATCAGTTTTATTGGAATGCAGGCATGCTCGTTCATTTGCATATTATTTATGGTGGCTTTTGTGGTACAACTGCAGAACCGAGTAGTTGTGACAGCGATTGTGTGACTCGCCAAGCCTAAACTCTCTACTTCTTGTCCTTTCCAGAAAGTTTGCCAACCTCTGTTTTATATCAGTAGCGAGTTAAGAGTTTAAAACTAGGAACAGCTTAAAGCTACGGCCTCTGCTGAAGGGAGATCAAAGAGAATGAAATAGTTGAATATCCTAAATGCAAGTGAAATAGAAATGTCCCAACTGCAATGCGTTGCAGGATCCCTTTCAGCCCCGCTTAGGGATCGGGAGCATGAATTGTTAGAATTCATGTCCTCTGCACCGTGGGTAGGTTTTAACATCTCTGAAAGTATCCATGCCTGGCCGTGGATCTTTTTAAAGTTTCCCAGATGATTCCAACATGCAGCCAGGATTGGGAGCCTTTGTCCACCCCAGGGGCTGACCACGAGAGGCCTTGACTGCAGCCAGCTGCCCATTCCGAGGTATTTTCAAATAACTCTCCAGGTGACCCTCACTGCTGTTGGGTCTGGCACCTTCCCAGGACGTCAAAGGATGACCAGACATTTGCTGATATATATATATACATATACATATATATATACACACACATATATATGTATATACATATATATATATGTATATATACACACACACACATATATATACACATATACATATATATATATACACACATATATNGTATATACATATATATATATGTATATATACACACACACATATATATACACATATACATATATATATACACACACATATATATATACATATATATATATAACCAAATTTACACATGTCTGATGGATGAGTGGCAGGCCAGTTTAGACATCTTTATGGGAAATACCCTTTCCAATGACTAGAATGTTTGAGAACCCTTATTATCAAGGCACTTTTCACCACATCAAATTACCTGGCAAGCTGAATTCTCAATCAGCAGGTTGATTGGTGAGCAAAGAATGAATAGCATCTGAACAAGAAAAGTAACCTCATTTGAGTGTCAGGGAGCGTTTACTTAAATGGTTGTAAAATGTCCGGAGGTTAATCTACCCAGAGCAGAGAACTTTGTGCTAGAGGCTGAACCGATTGGCGCTTTAAAGAGGTGCTACAGGAACTTTGGAAAAATCTGTTGGAACCCCATTTATCTGTGTTGATGCCCTCATTCTGTTAACTGGTGATACGGTACTCGCAGCATTGATGTCACTGGTGCCTTGGAGGGTGTCCTACGCCCCCCATTGTGTTGCTTTGATCGGACCACCTCCCCTAGGAATGCCCCACCCTCTGCAGCCAGCCTGAGTCATTTCACACATTTCACACCTTCCAGAGGAACCTTCCTCATCACCCATTGCCCCAGCCTGGTACCCAGACTGGCTCTTTCTTCTAACCTTGTCCTGATGACTTACTGCCCCGGCCAAACTGGGGCTTAGTTGGCCCCCCTTGTCCTTGCTCTGGTTTTCTCTTCTGCTTGGCATTTTCTCCACCCTCCCTTCTACTTCCTCAGACCCCACCCTCCCATCCCCACGGGGGTCCCCACCCCTGGAGCTCCTCCTGACCTCCAGTCCTCTCCCCTCTGAACTGTGCCCCCTTCCTGCACCTGTGATAAATTGGCACTTGGCCTGTGATTTGGTATTTACATTTCTTTCTGTTGTCCTAAGTGGGTTTCAAGCTGCTTAATAAGTGGAACCATATCACATGCCTCTTGTAACTCCAGCACTAGCAGAGTGCCTGGCTCTGGAAATGCTCAGTGTTTGTTTACCAGGAGAAGGATGCCAGGTGTATAGTAAACTTGTACATACAGTAATCCACATGAAAACTTACATAAGAAGCTTTTAAAACCACTTTTATCATTCTTTTAAGATGGTATAACTCTTGTTCAAACTCATCTTTTTTTTTTCTCNTATCATTCTTTTAAGATGGTATAACTCTTGTTCAAACTCATCTTTTTTTTTTCTCAATCCTTACCTGAGGATATTTTTTTCCATTGGGGGAGAGAGAGAGACACATCGATGTGAGAGAGACACATCGATTGGTTGCCTGCCACACGTGCCCCGATTGGGGCAGGGATGGAGCCTGCAACCGAGGCACATGCCCTTGGCTAGAATCGAACCTGGGACCCTTCAGTCCTCAGACCGACGCTCTAACCACTGAGCCAAATCAGCCAGCACCAAATGCATCTTATCTTTGAATAATCATCATCATCATTATTATTTACGCAGATGATCTTATTTAATATTCATAGCAACCTTACAAGATAGATGCTTTTATTAGCTCCATTTCATAGATTAAAAAACGGAAGCTTAGCGAGGTTGTTACTCAGGCTGCTACCTCTGACACGTGGGAGAGCCAGGATCCGAAACTCGTCTGTGAACCTCCAGGACTCCGAGTCTTAAAATTGCACCAAATTTTCACTCTAATGTACTCCATCCTAAAACCCATAATTGCTAGGTGAAAGTAATAAGATCTGAAATCGCTCTAAATGAAATTTATTTCATTTGGGTATCAGTGTTGTGATTACGCTGTTCTAAATTCAGCTAAATGCATATATTTTAAGAATATATTTTAAAAATCTGCTTTGATGACTATGTGTGATACTTTACTTGCTCGGTTTATGCTCCCTCACTTGAGCTTTACTTTTCAGATGGTTGCTTATAGATCAGTGTTTTGCAAACTGCAGTTTGTGATTCATTAGAGGGTAGTGAAATAGATTTAGGGAGGTATGTCCAGTGTTTTAAAAAAATGAAATAGAGTGGATAGAAGATATCAGAGTACGTCAAAGGAGTAAGGATACATATTGTTTCATTAAATTTAAATTTCTGTGTGTGTGTGTGTGTGTTCTGTGTCAGAATATATAATATATTCCTTTGTAAGGACTTTGGTCAAAATATTGAAAAGCCACCGCCATGGAAAACAGTACAAGTCAGTTCTCAATATCTGATTCTTATTCCACAGTGTTTTCCATATTAAGCTTCAGTTAGTCTCAGGTTAATGCCTTGCTCAGTGGTTCTCAAATATAAATGTGTTTTGTATAACCTTGAATGCTTTTAAAATTGCACATTCCTAGGAGCCAACCCCAGAAATTCTGAGTCAATAGGCCTGAGGCGAAGCTTGGGAACCAACCCTTAGAGTGAGTTCCACATGTTGATGTGGGTGATCCATGGCTCCCACTTGGAGAAACGTTGGCTGAACTAGACATTTGCTTGAAGCTATGTGCAGTAAGTCCTCACTTAGTCAGCAAGAGGTTCTGTGACTCTAAGTGAAACAATGTATAATAAAACCAATTTCACCATAGGCTGATTGATAGAAATGGGAGTTAAGTTCCTATTACTTTCCATCAAAGCTATAATGAAACAGTGTTGACCATAACAATTTTATTTGAGAACCTGCTGTATTAGCAAATTATTATCATTTTACTTTTAACTGGCGGATGAATTGGCATGAGCTGACACTTACCACATTGTGAGTTCATCTTTGGTAAGTCATGAGAACACAAAAGCATCTTTCAGAGGGATTATCTCTGAGATCGAAGTACTAGAGATGAGATACCGCCCTGCCATGCAATTGTGACGTAAGAGAGGGTTTCTTTGTGTGTGTTGTCAGGAGCCTGCCTTGCCGTGGTGTGCGTCAGCATGTCATGCCTCTCTGAAGGGATTTGTTTGACATGTACCCTCAGGAAGATTTTATCAGGACGCCCCAGAAGAAAGTTTGGAGAGAAGGCTTTGTTCTGTTTTGTTTTGATTTTTTTCTGAAATTTGAGCAGAATTGTTGCTTCGTTTTAATTGTTTTC